ATATATATCTATATATCTATATATAGATATATAGATATATATCTATATATCTATATATAGATAGATTAAATGTGCTGTTTACTAATCAGATCAGCCAAGTATTGTACTTTTTCTCTGAACTTCCCACACTTGCTTAAGAAAGTGAAAAACACATTATATTAATTGGGGCTTTTGAAGCTGCTTACTACTTACTTAAAGTGACATTAAACCCTCAGATTTTAACATAAAACAATACTGTAATGTGTGCCTTACTGTAATCCATGGTAGTTTCCCTTCCCTTTGCTGCTCTTCCTTTTAAATCTGTATCTCTTCTCATGCTGGGCAGAACTTCTGTTTTGCAGCAGACTGCCTTGTCTCTGGAATGGATACATGGGGGGTGATTTACTAATCTAAACACACGCACGCACTAGGTGTGTGTGATTTTTACACAGCAAAACGTATTTATCAACCAAAAAGTCTCTGAAAGCATATTTCCACTAATGCCATGTATGGAAAAATCATGCACATGATGCATATATAATGCTGCTTCACAGTTTAGACAAAAATGGTTAGCTCATGCATTTACATTCCTGCATTCATCAACATAAGCAACACAACATAGAGCTAATTTATACAACATCACCTTGTAATTCATGCTTGGCTTTGCACAACACACCTGCTGGGTGTGTACACACTACAAAGTTGTTTAGATTCCACCCATAGATCATGCTGGGAGGGAACACACTACAGAGGTGTATACATGTTCGTGGTGTGTTTATAAGGTTAGTAAATCAACCCCATGGTGTCTGTATGAAGGTTTACAACCTGAGCCAGCACTACAGGAAGAGGCAGTCAGCTGCAAAGGGAAGTTCTCCCCAAGCATGAGAAGAGATACAGATTTAAAAGGAAGAGCAGCAAAGAGAAGGGAAACTACCATGGATTACAGTAAGGCACACATTACAGTATTGGTTTATGCTAAAAAATCTGAGGGTTTAATGTCACTTTAACCACCAAATTGTAAAATCATCATTTAAGTGTACATAGTTAAAACAACATATAATATTACACATTAAAAGATTTTCCTTTTCCCAGTGTGTCCCCCTTAAATTGTGCCTCCCATAGCCAGGTCAACTACAAATTATCTGTATCCTCCACAGTCGCAGACTGCGCAATCAGTTGTTTCCATTGGCATGCGGTATTCCCAACGTGTTTCACAGAATGCTTCGTCAAGGGACCAGAGGCATACTATATTGCAGAAACAAACATTTCAGAAAAAGTTAAGCATATCAATTAATATATTTGTCTTTACACAATTTGACTGTCACTTTTCCTTACTATTCATATTCATGTATTTGTACTTAGGTGTACTTGGTGATCAAGGATCATCCAATGCAGAGGAAAGAACCACTCCTCACCACCAGGGCTTGGTGGGACCACAGGGAGATACACACATCAGAGCCCAATGAGACGACCCACTATTCCGTAAGGATCTGAAGGTAAATCTGTAAAAAATAAGTCAAGGTAACTAGACTTGCTGTATTTTTCTTGAAGACGTTTCACTGGTCATCCAACCAGCTTTCTCAATTCAGAATGACTTTCTCTGGGAATAAACATGGTGGATGTTGCTCCAATCCACATAATCAATCCAAATAATCATCCACATAATCATGATTATGTGGATTGGAGCAACATTCACCATATTTATTCCCAGAGAATTGTTTGTACAAGTCATTCTGAATTGAGAAAGCTGGTTGGATGACCAGTGAAACGTCTTCAAGAAAAATACAGCATGTCTAGTTGCCTTGACTTATTGTTTTACAGATATACCATGACCTGGATGAATGAGAACCGTCACAGACAGATCTGAAGGTAAGTATACTCATATAGAAACATGAAAAAATATGTATAACAACAAATCTTACTCTCTATTTAAATACATATGGCGTCATTAGCATCAGTACCTTTGTACACAGCAGTATCTCTGAAAAGGTCTAAATAAAGGTCCAGGTCTCACTCATACCACCTGCAGTGAATTCTTCCTTATGGGTGAGATATGGACCTTTTATTTAGTTAAGTATGTAGTAAGCGCTTTCAAAAGACCCAATTTATATCATGTGTTTTCAATAGTGATTTGAAGGGGGAGTAATACAAAGACCACTCTCTTAGGTCAGCCCTGAAGGGTATAATTGTTTAAAGAAAACTGGTGTGTAATCAAAACAGTTGGATATCTTTGCTGACTGAAAATTCTGTTTTCCTGGATGTCCAACTGATCTAATGTTTCCAATAAGATTGAAATCAGTAAGAAGTTAGAATGCTAGATCTGCATACATATTCTGGGTCAGCAATTCAGAATGTATTGAAGCTATTGGATCAGCATGACAGCCAGACAACTAACATTTTCAGAAAGAAAGATCAGCAATAGCAATCTTTGTACTTCACTCAGCATACTACTCTAGTCTAGTAAGATGTTGAAAATGCTCACTTGTCCTGTTTAAACATATAATCCATAAAAAAAACCAAAAAAAACAAGTGATGACATAGGACCATGAAAGATGGTACCAATGTTTGACACATACACTCACTGGCCACTTTATTAGGTACACCTGTTCAATTGCTTGGTAACACAAATTGCTAATCAGCCAATCACATGGCATCAATTCAATGCATTTACGCATCTAGACTTGCTGAAGTTCAAACCGAGCATCAGAATTCAGAAGAAAGGAGATTTAAGGGACTTTGAATATGGCATGGTTGTTGGTGCCAGACGGACTGGTCTGAGTATTTCAAAAACTGCTGATCTACTGGGATTTTCACACACAACCATCTCTCGGGTTTACAGAGAATGGTCCGAATAAGAGAAAATATCCAGTGAGTGGCAGTTGTGTTGACGGAAATGCCTTGTTGATGTCAGAGGTCAGAGAAGAATGGGCAGACTGGTTGCGAGATGATAGAAAGGCAACAGTAACTCAAATAACCACTCGTTACATCCAAGGTATGCAGAATACCATGTCTGAATGCAGAAAACATCGAACCTTGAATCAGATGGGCTACAGCAGTACTAGACCACACCGGGTGCCACTCCTATTAGCTAAAAACAGGAAATGGAGGCTACAATTCGCATAGGCTCACCAAAATTGGACAATAGAAGATTGGAAAAACGTTGCTTGGTTTCATGAGTCTCGATTTCAGCTGCGACATTCGGATGGTTGGGTCAGAATTTGGCGTAAACAACATGAAAGCATGGTTCGATCCTGCCTTGTATCAACGATTCTGGTTGGTGGTGGTGGTGTAATGGTGTGGGGGATATTTTCTTGGCAGACTTTGGGCTTGTGATGCTATCATGTCAATATGGACCAAAATCTCTGAGGAATGTTTCCAACACCTTGTTGAATCTATGCCATGAAGAATTAAGGCAGTTCTAAAGGCAAAAGGGGGATCCAACACGGTAATAGCAAGGTGTACCTAATACAGTGGCCGGTAAATGTATAAGGAAAATAAATAATAAACAATTGATTTTTTATAATACCTGTACATACTTGTTTTTCAAAATCGATCTCTAAAAGTAGTATTAAACTTTCAAAGTTTTTTCAAAAATGAATTCAGATTAAACAAATATAAATTGCTCAGCAAAGTATTTATTTTCATATTTGCCCATGCACTTTTTAAACATCAAGGAACAGCATCCAGTGTAAGTGGTTTAATCAGTATTTCAAATAGCTGAAAATAAATTTTTACTTTAATATCCCTTTAACTGCCTCCGGGCCGGCCGTAGTAAAAAAACGGCCGGCCAAGAGCTCTCTAGATCTGAGCGGGCGTCTTCAGACGTCCGCTCAGACACGCCCCCTTGCGCGCGCCACCGGGCACGCGCGAGCGGGAAAAGGCCGCAATTTAAAAACGGGCAGCATTGCCCGTTAATATACATGCGATCCGCCGGCTGTAAAGCCCGGGATCAGCATGTCGCCTGTGACACAGGGTATCAGAGAGAGCTCGGTACACGAGCTCCCTCCGGTCCCCTCTCCTCTGAAAGAATGCGGAAGTGTTGTATAATACATCACTTCCGCATTCTTGTGTCACTCTCCAGCTTCAGAAGCTGGAAAGAAGCTGATGGAGCAGATCTCTGCTTCATCAGCTTCTTTTGGGGGGTCCTAGGTGACATTAGGGGTCTTGGAGACCCCTGATGTCTCCATAAAGAGGACCTGTCACATATTTTGCTATCACATAGGGGGGGTTTATTAGCCCCCGTATGTGATAGCAATAAAGTTTAGTGGAAAAAAAAAAAGGAAAAAAAATTAAAGTCCCCCCCCAAAATTTGAAGTAACACATAAAAAAGAATAAAAAAAAAAATTGTAAGTCCCCACCCATACATACACGCATGCATACATGCGTCGGGGGCGCATACGTGCAAAAAAGACGATTGCGCCCATTACGCCGCACATGATAGATATCGCCGCGAACGTCATTAAAATTAATTTCAGTACAGCGTTGCATGACGGAATAAACGTCAGTCAAAGTATCGCAGCGCTGAATACTGAAAAATGGCCTGGCCAGGAAGGGGGTCTAAACACCTGGTCTTGAAGTGGTTAAGCAGTAACCTCCCATGACGGAAAGCAGCTGCACTACTTTTTTTTCCTAGATTATAACTGTTAATATTTTGTTTCACACAAAAACACATTTTAGATTTATGGACTAAATTAAATACAGATATTATTTTAAACATTTTCAATTTTCCTTGATGTACAAATGAAACATTGGAGTTGTTATTGAATCACATAAATGTTTTAATGCGTTGTTCATGTATTTCCATAAAAAATCAAATTACTGTAAACAAAAAGCAGAGTGAGGGTTACTCAGACACATCACAATGAACGGGAAGAGGACTGCACTTACAGTTTTAGATGGTAGAATCCCAAACAATGGAAACATTAAAGCTGGGATAAAAGCAGTGACAGACAGAGGTAAAGCTTCTGATAGCCAGAAGATGGCAACTAAGAACAGCACATATGCACATTCTGCCTCCTGTAACAAGAGAAGGGAAAGTAGAGGGTTATAGGTTAAGGTGTCTTTTTTCTTTTCCTGTAAAGAGAATCAGTCAAAACATACCTGCATAATTACTCCCTTTTGAAAGCAACCCAAACTTATGTATCAAATATTAGCTCACCAGTAGAGATTCTGTGTATAGGTTTAGCTTAAGGATGATTTGTTCCTTGGTGTCTGCAGCTACAGAGGTAAGTGAGGGTTTGTTTTACAGCCTATTTTCTGCTTGTTAGGTATATATAAACGATTGTCCAAGGCTTGACCGCAGGTTCATTTTAAAATGATCCTGCAGCAGTCTCAAGACCTGTCTGAGGGATCTTGTATTCAGTTACATTTAAAACGTTTTCTGTGAGTTTCCCAGCCAGAGGAAATGTGTGCACCCAACCCTTTCCTGTGGTGCCCCTGCTTACAGGGCCGGATTTACTCTCCCTTCCGCCCCAAGGCCAGGTTCCACAATACGCTATTATACAATTATTTTGAAATCTGTGGAAAAGTTTGCTGGCAGCATTCCCAAGTGGTATTATCGGGGTCTAATCCCACACAGTCTGAAAATACTTGCCTTGCTCAAATCAATAGAGCAGGGAGAGCATTCAAAGTAGTTTTTAAATATTTATATACAGCATATGGATTTTATTTAATAGTTTCATGTTGTTATTATTATAAGTTATTATAAGAATATATTAGTTAAAAGGTGTCTAAACTTAAAAACAGATTGTTGTACAACTTTTTGTAATTTCAGAACATTCAGGTTGTTTTTTTCTAATATGCCCTGCTTTTAATAAAATCATACCAACAAGGCGTATCCACAGACACTTTCTTTCCTAGGGCAAAAACACACACTACCCACTTCTGATCTGGACTACAAGCAGCCATACTAATGCACAGTGTGCTTGCAAATTTTACTGTAGTCATCATAGTAAAACTGATGTTCAGCTGCTTCAGAAGCATGCACATATGCACAGGAAGTTTCTACACAGAGCTTACAGGACGTGCACAGGGTAAGTAGAATAAATAAGAAAGCAAGGGCAAAACTATTGTTTTATCTAAAAGTAAGGCAAGCCTCTTATCATTACATTGCTCCACAAAACAAAGAGGGTTATTCACTTAACCGCTGAAGGCAGCTGAGTGAATAACCGAGCCAAAGTGAACAGAGCCAAACGACGTTCGGCTATTCACTTCAGCTCAGTACGGCTGATTTCATCTGTTGCCTTCGGCTGCCTTCGGTCAGCCGAACATGCTCTGCATGTTCGGCTGAGCCGAAGGGCAGAAGGAGTTCGACTCAGCCGATCCAACATCTGGATCGGGTGAGCCGAAGCTCCGGCAGCTTCCTCACTGCCGTTCGCAGGCTATTCTGCTCACTACCTCCGAGCTAACAAGCAGAATAGAAACAAATGAAAAAAAATGTTTAAATTATTTAAATAAATGTAAAATAAAAGAGAAATTAAAAAAAGTTAAGAAAATAATAAAAAAAGTCAAAGAAAATAAAAAAAAAAACAGTGTGGGGTCCCCCCTCCCAAACCATACCACACCCTTTAGAATATGTAGGAAAGTTAAGAGAGATCCCATTTAAAAGAAAAAAGCGTTGGGTTCCCCCCAAAAGTCATACCAGGCCCTTTAGGTCTGGTAGGAATTTTAGGAGGGACCAAGTAAAAAAAATGTTTTAAAAGTGTGTGAGGTTCCCCCTAAAGTCATACTAGGCCCTGAAGGTCTGGTTGGAATTTAAAGGAGGAACCCCAAAATGGGGGAAAATAGACGTGGGGTCCCACCTAAAATTCACAACCAGACCCTTGATCCGAGCAAAGGGCAGGAAAACGGGGGGGGGTGCGAGCGAGCACCCCCTCCTCCATGCTATACCAGGCAACATGCCCATGCCAATGGGGACAAGGGCCTCTTCCCCACAAGACCTTTGGCGTTAGTAGTGGGAGCGCAGGAAGGGGGGCTTATTCACATCAGGGCACCCCTTTGTTAAAGGGGCACCCAGATGGGCCCCCTTTGTGAATGAGTAAGGGGTACTTGTACCCTTACCCATTCACTAAAGGGTTGAATTAAAAGGTTAAAAAAGACGCCAGACTTTAGAAAAAAATCCTTTCATTGAAAAAAAAAAACAAAAGACAAGTTTTCGACAAGTCTTTTATTTAAAAAAAAAAAAAAAGGAACAACTGATGTAATCCTAAGGTCAACCAAGACATCCAGCATTGTCCACGACAACTCGGCGAAATAAAAAAATAAAAAAACGTTTTTAAAAAAAAGACAACCGCCAACTCGACTGCATGCAACGAACTCCCACCGCATCATGAAGAATCTGACAAAAAATATAAACAATTGGGCTCTGCCCAACTATTTACCTTTGGCCGGCACCTGCCAGAGTCTTCTAGCAGGTCCAGGGGCAAAAAAAAAACAACTGGGCGAAGCCGGCCATGACAGGATGGCCGGCCCCACCCAGTTGTTGTTGTTCAATGACAGATCAGCATCCCCAGGTCATTTGGGGACGCTGATCTGTCATTACAACTGGGCGGAGCCAGCCAGCTGTCATTTGCGCGGAGAACGGTTGGCCCTTTGGCCGACCTTTTTCCACGCTTCGGTGTCACAAGCTTATGTGTTCGGCTCAGCTGCCTTTGGTTGCAATATGGGCTATTGTGAATAGCCCGTACAGCAACCCCTCGGTTCGACTGAACCGAAGGGCTCAGGCGGCCGAAGTGAGCTGAAGGATCAGCCGAAGCTAGCTCTTTTGTGAAAGACCTCAAAGTCTTTTTTTTTTAGACAGTTTAGTTCTATTTTCATCTAAATGTTTACACAATGTAGCAGACAAATAAACACATTTTAGGAGAAGGTGCTTTGGAGTAAATAGCATATTTGTATGGTTTGTACAAGTGCTTACAAACTATTGCTTTTAGAATATTTAACACAAATATTTAAAAATTTTAGAAAAAGCGCTGACCTGGAATATATGCTAAAAACAAATTTGTTGATTGTTAACACACAGCAAGCTACATCAGGAGAGTAACAATTGTGTGCACGTGATGTGATTAATAAAGATAACTTTTTAAATAAACGTATTTATATATATATATAAAATTATTCAAATATACTGTATGTACATGGGGCATCCATGCAGGCTTTGTTTTCTGCTTTGTAACACTATGCAATGAGCCTGGTTTATTAAAGTGTGAACAGAGTAAATTTAAAAAAATTTAAATAAAATGTGTTTGTATGTAACATTACCCTTAGTTAACCATTTATCAGCCCAAATTCACTTCTTCCCTTTCTTCCCTTTTCTTTTTTTTTACACAATAATTTTTTTATTCATTTGGTTTGCTAATTCTTTTCATTGTCATATTAAAAATACACACAATTGAAAAAACTTTATATAACTTTAAATTTAAATACATTTGCCATACTTTGTACCAGAAACATCATGTTAGTGTAATTATAAATGGGGAAAATTTTGGAATAAAGTGTATATTTTTTATCTATAGTAACTCTACTTATTTTAAAACGAATACTGATCAATATAGATGTTTTGTTACATCTTTTCGTCTAAAACTTGCATTGGAAATAAAACATTTCTCGTAAGGCAATATTGCCTAAATAAAGCCTTATTTATCCAAAGGGAAAATACCTATGTGGTCTATTCACAAAGCTGCCGAAGGATCTAGCCATAGCTTCGGCTGATCCTTCGGCTAGCTTCGGCCCCAGAACCCCTTCGGTTCAGTAGAACCGAAGGGTTGTTGTATGGGCTATTCACTTTAGCCTGTACAGCTCCCGAAGTTGACCGAGCATCTCAGTCGAGCCAAGGCATATGCCTTGGCTCAACTGAGCCGAGGTGAAAGCCGAGGCTGGCCGAACGGCCGGCCATAGGCCTGGCTACTGACATCTGGGCGGAGCCAGCCATCATATCATGGCTGGCTCTGGCCACTTGCAGAGACAGATCAGCGTCATTACCAGGCATCCCAACTCTCCCGGACGCTCCGGGAGTCTCCCGCTATTACATAGCGGCTCCCGGCCGCCCGGGAGAGAAACATTTCCCTGCTCTGTTGTTTTTCTTTCTTTTTTTCTTCTGACATCGGAGCCGCCGGCCGCCCTCAGTCAGAAAAAAAAAAGAACAGCAAAGGAATGCATAGCTACATTCCTATTGGATATTTCCCTTTGCAATAGCCAATAGCAAATTAGCTATTGCACCCGCCCACTGCTGCTGTCAATCAGCTGAGGGGACCTGAAGTTCTCCATCAGGTCCTTTTCTAGTGATTGACAGCAGCAGAGGGTGGCTGCAATATGGTGGCTGCTATCTGCCATCATTTCAGGGGGGTGCTCTCTCCCCCCTGCATTACAATGAGAGCTTAGCAGAGCCAGAGGTGATATGAAAGCCGACTCTGCTGAGCTCTCATGGTACTGACAGTTCAGTAACCAGGGGACGCTGATCTGTCAGTACCATGAGAACTCAGCAGAGCCGGCTTTGATACCACCGCCTGCTCCGACAAGCTCTCATTGTAATGATAGCTGGTCCCGGCCAATAGAAAACAGTTCTATGCTAGCCCTGCCCAATCATTTTCTATTTTTTTCCTACTTTTTAAAACTGTTTTTCTATTCTGCTCGGTACCACAGAGGTACCGAGTGCTCACTTCACTTCGGGTCGGTTATTCACACGGCTGCCTTCGGCAGATTTGTGAATAGACCCCTATGTATTCTATTACAGCAATCCCCAGCCTTTTTGGCACCAGGGACCAGTTTCGTGGAAGAAAATGTTTCCATAGACCGGGAGGGGTGGGGAAGTGGTGGGTTGCCATTGGAGCAGTTTTGGGGTGATTCAAGCACATTTATTGTGCACTTCTTTATTTCTATTATTATTACATAGTAATAATAATAGACTGGCGCTGACTGGTGGAACGGACGGGGGCGGGTACAGCTGGCTCTGTCTCTAGATAGGCCGAGCCAGCTGTCAGTCACGCAGCTAGGCGGATCCTGGCACAATTGTAGGGATCCGCTTCAGCTGCAGCGTCTCAGTATACAGCTCGCGGTATACTGAGCCTAGGGTGACAAGAGGACGCTAGTTTGTGTCCTCCTGTTACCCTCAGGAGAACTATGGGGAAAAGCCTTAACCCCATAGTTCTCCTTTAAGTTCAAAAGGCTGACAGTTTTACTCAATTTTAATGAATACTTAACTGAAAATTGTGTTTTTATACTTGCCTAAAATGTATCTGTCATTTCTTTAGCTGCTGTAGCCAGAGAAGAAGCTAGTGAAGCAGATCTATGCTTCATCAGCTTCTTTGGGGTACCTAGGTGACATTAGGGGTCTGAATACTTTTAAATATTAAAAAAACACAAAAAACTCAGTGGTGATTAAATGCCACCAAAACAAAGCTCTATGTGTCCCAAAAAATGATATCAAAATTAAAAATGTATTTTTGTACGGTGGTGCATGACTGAATAAATGTCAGTCAAAGTACCTCAGTGCTGAATACTGAAAAATGGCCTGGCCAGGAAGGGGGTTTACTACCCTGGTCTTCAAGTGGTTAAAAATGTGTAACATGGTAGCTTGTGAGGTACAGTAAATGTTTAGAAGAAGTTACGATCATCTGGCTATTAAGGTCAACTTTGTATTATATAACATGTTTATCATGGGATTAAAGGCTTGACGTTTTTCATTAGGTGTCTAATCTTTCTTAAGTATTCATGATGTTAGAAAAGGCTGAAATATTATAAGTATTTCAATGTCCTGCTTTGTAAATAACTTCCTGTGAAGCACCAGGGGGGACTCTGATGGAAGCTGCAAATCGGCCACACTGTTGCAGTGCATCTGGTTGCTAGGCAACAATACCCCAATAAAGCCATCACTTGTACAGTGAGGACAGCAGCAGAGAATATTCATTTTATGCTTTTCTGTTTGAATAATAAGTTAACATTTCTAGTGACCTAAAATATAAATGTGTGGGATCAGAACTGAAGTATCTTATTAAATTACAGCAAATCCATAGTGCTAGCAAAGTGTATCAAATAGATTTCCTATCCAAAACTAACCTTCTAAAAACGTATTTATTATTTATATAGCGATGACAAGTTATGCCGTGCTTTACATAGTGCACATTCACATCAGCCCCGGCCCTCAATCTAAGGTGCCTACCCCGCATGCACACAGGGCCAATTAACCTACCAATAAGCCTTTGCAGTGTGGAAGGAGACTGGAGTATCCAGAGGAAACCCACACAAGCACAGGGAGAACATGCAAACTCCTTGCAAAGTGTCCTGACCAAGATTCTGAAGCAGGGACCCCCAGTGCTACAAGGCAGAAGTGCTAACCACTACTCCACTGTGCTGCCTGAAAAAATAAGGCATGTTTACAAATTAACTACAACAAATATATACTTTTTTGCTTTTTGCCTCATCTTCGGCACACAAGAGCCAGCCTTCCTGTTGGCAAAAAAACATGCGTCTGTCACACAACATAGGATGCCGGCTCTTCTAATGCAGTCCGCTGTGGGCAGCCGTGTAGATGTAAAGGAATACAGCAGCAACTTGTGTGCCCGTATTGTGTAATGGTATCAGCCAAATGATCAAACCAGTGGTGAAATGCAATTTCTATTTTACTAAACAAATGGAAATCAAACATGATTTGCACAGGGGATAATGAATGAACGATGGGAGTGCATTTCAGAACATGCAAATCAACAATAGGGAAACAGGTATAGAAGAGCACATAGAAATATAGAACAGTTCTTCAACTGGCCAGCAGATGGCAGCACACTTTCCCAGTTCAGTAAAGTTTATGGAAAAAGTGTAAAGTTATTACGACCTCCTTACTGCAAACACATTCTCAAAACACTTTCACTGGAAGGCAAGCTGATTGCTGAGTGGATCGGCTGCTCGAACAGGTTTCACACCGACACTGCTGCTGATGTCTTCGGTCAGGAGGTTCTGGTGGCTGATGGTAGGGCCACCCCATTGGATGTGTAGACTCTCCAAATGGACTGCAACAAAATGTACTCCAGTGACTGGATCTTGTACAGAAGCTGCTTGCTCTTGTGCTCAAAGCTGATAGCCAACACACCAGACTTAATGGGGGAGGACCCAGCACCTGATGACAGCTCACTTGCTCAGTCACTACTGTCCCATCAGGCAGGGTCTCTCTGAGCACCAGAAGGTGTGAGAAGCTGGAATTTATATCTCCTGTGCAAGTCCAGGAGCTCAGAGGATGATGGGAGCCCAGAAGATAAATTGGTCTCCCAAATTCTCTGGACGTCCATCATCCCCTAAGCTCATGGACACACCCAGGGGATATAAAGCTTAGTCAAATAGAAATGGGGAAGTTAAAGGGACCCGCACCTATCACTGAATAAAGGGTCACTCCACCACACCCACAGCAAGAGCACTGCATTTTGTGTGCAAAGACATATTGCTGATAATCTGCACCACTAGCCAAGTTGGACTGCATTAGGAGAGCCTGCTTCCTATGGTGTGGGAAATGCGTGACTGCATATATATTAATGTAAGTGTATGATTTTATTTGGAATAAATAGACACCTCTTTCCTGCAGAGATAACACATCACATTTTCCCTGGTAGTAGGGGCACAGTGTTCACTAAGAGAAGCAGATTTTAGAGGTGTCCTACAGCAACCACCGGATTTTGTGTTATTTCGTTTTTTGGGATTCGGGTGTGAAAGTCAATTCGTATTCGGACGAAATTTGTTCGCGGTAGTTCGTTCGGATGTTCGTTTCGTTTTCGTTCGTTCGTTGCAGTAAAGTGACATTTGAGGAGGAAAAAAATGTTTTTCCCCCTTCTCTAATGTCCCTTTGCTGCAACGAATGAACGAACGAAATGAATAAGAAACTAAACGAACGTCCGAACAAACTACCGCTAACCAATTTCGGAAACGGAAATTCGGATTCGTTATATCTGTCATTCGGAATTCTGATACATCCGAATGTCCATATTTCCAAAAATTCATCCGAATTTCGTTACGGAACGAAACGAATCGCACGTGTCTAACAAGCATGCAGCATAGAACGTCTGAGTGCAGACAGAACTGTAACTGCTATTGGTGCAGCACGGAAGCCAGACAATACGCATTTCCGAAGGAGAATAACAGCAGTTTCCATATTTTGTTCAGTGTAGGCTTCTTATATAAATGTATATGTAAAGTCCACACTTTTTCTTTTATTTCTACATAAAATGTGGACGGGGTTAGAACCTCTGTCAGGTTTGTAATGTTATCTTTCTCCCTGTTGGGTAGATTCAACGTAACTATCGGCCCTGGTTACCATTGTCTTATATGGTTTTAATGGTTAGAACTGTTTGAGTAAGTGGGGCTATGCCCTCACTTTGTAGCGATCTCCTCTTACTTCCTGCTGTGTTTCTGGGAGAAGAAATGAAGGGAAATCTGCCCGATGGAACACAGACAGCAACAAAAAACTTGACAGGGGTCTTAGACATTCTGTAATGTATTTAAAAAGTTTTGGTTTTACTTACACTTTAAAGGTGAACTTTTTAAATAACACCCTTGCAGTTCCCCCCAGCACTGCATGGTTCACATGCTCATTCAGTCTAGGGAATGATGAATAAGCTGTAATAATTACCTTATTTGTTGCTCCCCAAGCAGCCAGCACTCTCCTCTTCACCAGGTTGTGGGCAGCCCCTCGTCATCCTAATGTGCAATGCAGAACTGCTGGTCCTGCATTGTATAAGATGGCGTCAGAGTGCCACTGCCAGACGGAGTGACAAAGAGAAGCAACTTAAGAAGACCAGTTGCACAGCATGGAATCCTGCCAGTGTGAAGAATAAGGCAAGTAGCCAACCATTTAACCATTGCAGTGCAAGAAGACCCCACTGCAAGGGTATTTTTTTTGTCTGCGCTGGGGCTTTAAAGTGGACCTTTACTCAGATCTTTAAATAAACAACAAACACCTTTAGAAATGTTTAGTAATCACAATTCTTTGCATACCTTATTTCTCTTTTGTTTCCCAGTCTTCTGGCAGTGGCCATGTTTACTAAGGGAAGGTTACTAGCTCTCCTTTTACTTATTGGATTTCTGGCATATGTGACTAGGACATGTGACAATGCACATCGTCTCAGGGTAGGAAAATGCCTTTCCCTGAGATCCCATGAGATTTCTCAGCAATGCTCTGCTGATAGCAAGGCAATCCCAGTGTGCATTGCTTTGGAAAACTGAACTCATTTTGTCCTTTCAAAGCAGGAAGTAAATGTTCTGCAAGTGTAAGTATTTCAAAATCACAACATTTTACACCTGTCATGTCTATGTTATTATTAATCATCATACATAGAGGGTTGAATTGGTAGAATTAGATTTTTGAGTGTAAAGGTCCGCTTTAAGTAATGTGATCAGTTGCAAACAGTGCTTTATTGCATTCTTTAACACTTCCTTCTCCTTGGTTATTTAAAAAAAAAAAAACTTCTGTTTTACTTTGGAGCTGCCAGGATCTAAAATAGAATGCCAAGATCTTAGAATGAACCTTTGACCAGTAAAATTAAGCAGCAGACTAAACACATCTGAACAGATAATTGTTTTTTTTTCTGATTTCAGATGCATATTGTTTCTTACAATATTATCACAGTAATGTTTACATAAGGCAGCAGTGCAGGGAGCTATATGCTCTTTGTAAGGACTGGCTGGCTGCTATTGACTACTTCATGACACTGCTCTTTGTCATTACCTTGCAAAATGTTTAGAAAATAAGACATATTTGCAACAATAAAAGAATCACAGGTAGAATATGAAGCTTGACTCTGGACAGGAGAAAATAGTACAGACAAGCTATTGCAACCTCTGTAATGGTTGCTATAAAAGTAGTTATGTTTTGTCTTTTTTACTTTAAGACATTAATTACAGATTATGGAAAAATAAGTAAACAATTTATTCAGCTGTATACAATTCTGAGTTGAAATGAACTTACCTGGGTTTTGATGATTAGTGGAATTGGCAGTAGAAGCAGTGGAGTTAGTAAAATCAGTAAAAATCTGCGGTATATCCATAAGTAACTGAAAAAAAGCCGCATTCTGACAGTGAACAGGATTCTCTTACCTGTAAGAGATCAAAAAAACTAAGATGCCCCTTAAATAGACAACCTTGATTAATGTTTCTCTACACAGTCACCTTTAACCTCCGGCTAGCTCTTTTTTTTAGATCTAGTTAACAATAAAGTTTTATTGTTTTACAATAGGAAATTCAGTATCAGTTAACAAAAAACTAATTACAAATAATTCAACGAAAAGAAGCCAAATGCATGCAGAATATTTGCAGAGAAAGTTAGTTTTAGACCTTTTGTGCCTTCAGCAACTTTCTCACCCAAAAGCTATCTATTGGCTTGGCGTGAGGAGTGTGAGAAACAAATGTTTGAGCCACACATCAGTCCGTGTATGACTTTCAAATTTTTCTATTGCCTTCTGCATGATATGGGAGGGTTATTTACTATGAATGTCAAAGTCTCTTGCAGATTATATAATTCTGATTTTGCAATGTATGAGCCGCTAGACTGTAAAACATATGTGTACAGCTTGTATATCAGTGTACATTTACTGTCCCCTCAAAATAACTTCTGAGTGGAACCTTTCCTGTTAAACCGCTGTATGGTCTTGGCCACCGTGCCTCAGCTCATTTTCAGGGTCTTGGCAATCTTCTTATAGCCTAGGCCATCTTTATGTAGAGCAACAATTCTTTTTTTCAGATCCTCAGAGAGTTCTTTGCCATGAGGTGCCATGTTGAACTTCCAGTGACCAGTATGAGAGAGTGAGAGCAATGACAACAACTTTAACACACCTGCTCCCCATTCACACCTGAGACCTTGTAACACTAACGAGTCACATGACACCGGGGAGGGAAAATGGCTAATTGGGCCCAATTTGGACATTTTCACTTAAGGGTGTACTCACTTTTGTTGCCAGCGGTTTAGACATTAATGGCTGTGTGTTGAGTTATTTTGAGGGGACAGCAAATGTACACTGATATACAAGCTGTACACTCACTACTTTACATTGTAGCAAAGTGTCATTTCTTCAGTGTCGTCACATGAAATGATATAATAAAATATTTACAAAAATGTGAGGGGTGTACTCACTTTGGTGAGATACTGTATATACACACACTATATTGCCAAAAGTATTGGGACACTCCTCCAAATCATTGGATTTAGGTGTTCCAATCACCTCCATGGCCACAGGTTTATAAAATCAAGCACCTAGGCAAGCAATTGTGAAATAGTTTGCACCTCTACAAACAATTGTGAAAGAATGGGTAGCTCTCAGGAGCTCAGTGAATTAAAATATGGTACCGTGTAGGGATGTCCCGATACCGATGCTAGTATCGGTATTGGGGCCGATACAGGGCATTTTCACAAGTACTTGTACTCGTGATAATGCGCCGATGCTGACGGCCGATACTGGCCCTTTACATTTTTAACTCGGATCGGCTGCCTCAGGTCCCGCGGTTGTGGGGTCCTGAAGCGGCCTTCCTGGGACCTGGCAGTAGCTGTCTTTAACACTGCCTGCCAGGTCCCACGTCTCCTCTTCCTGATTCAAGGTGCAGGCACTGCTCGAGGCAGCCCCACACCTTGAATACAGCCTCGAAGCGGGCAAATGAACGGCACCCGCTAAATTCGGCTCACAGCATGCCCGTAGATCGGGCTAAGGCAAGGAAGAAGCGCACTAGGAGGGGTTGGAGGGGGTTGGGGACGCTGGGTGTGAAGCACAGCACCTGTCAGAGCCTGTGGAGAAAAGCAATAAGCAGCGCTGAAGAGACCCAATAGGCAGCCCTGGTGAGATGTGGATGCAGCCTGGTGAGATGTGGATGCAGCCTGGGGAGATGTGGACGCAGCCTGGGGAGATCTGAATGCAGCCTGGTGACATCTGGATGCAGCCCTGGTGAAATCTGAACGCAGGCTGGGGTGATCTGGAAGCATCCTGGGGTGATCTGGAAGCAGCCTGGGGGGATCTGGATGCAGCCCTGGTGAGATCTGTATTTAACTCTGGTGCGATCTCTATTCAGCCCTGGTGACATCTGTATGCAGTTCTGGTGAGAAACTGCCCTAAAATTATTAGTCTGTATTGTTTTAGAAAACATTTCACAGGTCCCTTTAAGAAAAAGTATTGGTAATTGGTATCGGCAAGTACCTGAGGGGAAGAACTTGTACTTGGTCTTGAAAAAGTGGTATCAGGACATCCCTAGTACTGTGATAGGTTGCCACCTGTGCAATAAGTCCATCTATGAAATTTCCTTGCCACTAAATATTCCACGATCAACTGTTAGTGGTATTATAACAAAGTGGAAGCAACTGGGAACAACAGCAACTCAGCCACAAAGTGGTAGGCCACGTAAAGTGACAGAGCAGGGTCAGCGCATGCTGAAGCGCATAGTGCACAGAGGTCGCCAACTGTCTGCAGAGTCAATAGCTACAGACCTCCAAACTTCGTGTGGCCTTCAGATTGGCACAGCATCAGTGCGTAGAGAGCTTCATGGAATGGGTTTCAATGGCCGAACAGCTGCATCCAAGCCTTACATCACCAAGTGCAATACAAAGCGTCGGATGCAGTGGTATAAAGCACGGCACCACTGGACACTAGAGAAGTGGAGATGTGTTTTCTGGAGTGACGAATCATGCTTCCTTGTCTGGCAATCCGATGGACATGTCTGTGTTTGGCAGTTGCCTGGAGAATGGTACTTGCTTGACTGCATTGTGCCAAGTGTAAAGTTTGGTGGAGGGGGGATTATGATGTAGAGTTCAAATCCCATCCTCCCCCCTCCACTCGCCTCCTTATTCCCCCAATATCGGCTGGCTTTAGGTTACAGGTAAAGTGATCCTTTTTCTTTATGCACAGGATTCCATTCATGACCTTATTTACAATGTCTTAAGCATTCAAAGAATTTACTAAATATAAACAAACTAGCTGCCTTTTTGCTTGAGAGGGGGTTTATGAAAGATTTTTGTTGGAATGGTGGCTTGGTCAGCTAGCCTTTGATACTGGATGGGCAGATACATTACCCAGTTCCATTATGGCACTTATGTAGCTGATGATTTAAATCTCTGTACAACTGTAATACTGTTCTTAATTTTTTCAGAAAAAAAAATTCTGTTGGCTTTATATAATTTTGCTATGTCTTGTGAGAAAAATAGATAAATGTAAAACCCCCTATGCCCAAAGGGTCTAATTTGTAAGTGTATAATGGTAGTAAGAAAATTAGTTCCCACAGCCCCAGACTGTTGTCCGACGATAATATGCATTTCTTTCCATAGATACCTTAGTTGGCATTACCTGAAGAAAACTCTTGACTTCAAGCTGAAATCCAAGCAGATATAAAAGACACAAATTAATTCAGTTCTGCATTCATGAATACATGATGTCATGTATTTACATTTATGCTTGTGCATTTAAGTGGTGTAAGTACCCCTGATTGTGTCTGGTATCAGCCTCTTGCAGTGGCTGTTCTGCTCAGGCTTGTAGAGAGAGAAGCATCAAAAGGAGCCAGTCAGTTATGCTGAGATGGGAAGGAGACCTGTCAGTATTACTTGGCTGGAATAGATTAAAAAAACAAACAAACAAAACAAAAAAAACGATGGGTCTGCACTAACAGTCAGGCCTATGTTGAGTGACAGAGTTGTTTAAATCTCAGAAAAGGATTATGAGAAATACAAACCCTTTAGCAGATAAACCAGCTCCTTAATATGTATTTGATGTCTGTATATACCTTTGCATGTAGTTCAGCTTTATTTAGCAATTCCAGCAACAAGTAAAACCATTTAGTGAGCTGCTAACACATTCAAGAACACTGCAACTTTACCGAAATCCAGGTTGTCTTTAATCCACTCAGCAATGACCACCTCACAGGATCAGTAGAAGGGCAGAAGTGTTCTTCCTTAGGCCTCTGCTCTGTAAATCTTTCGCTCTCTCTCTCTCTCCGCTGCCTGTTTCACCAATTGCATTCAAATTTCCAAAGTAGGTTTAAAACTTGCTATGAAAAACAGCTTAGTACTGCTTTGTTTACAATCTGCTTTCTGTATGTGAGAGGTAGCAAAGAGAGTAATTCAACCATCACAAGCAGGCATGTCCCATATTTATCTGATTCCTGACAAAATATAGTGTTAGAAGATACAATAACCTCAGCTATGAATATTTACAGTATATCTCCCTGGCCAGCCACTAGGAGGTTGTTCTGAATACATTCTATTAACTGTTCAAAAGTGATTGGTTCCCATCTGTTCATGTCCTCACTACAAGTCAAGAATCTAACTCACATATGACAATCTACAAACAGATACTGCTAGATAATTGCTGGCTTTCTATTCTTTGCAGCCTTATTTTTCTATTTTTTCCCAGTCTCCTAACAGTGGCCATTTTGACTAAGGGCAGGTTACTAGATCTCCCTTATCTTCCTGGAACTCTGGCACATGTGACTAGGACATGTGGCCATGTACATCATCTCAGGGGAGGAAAATGCCTTCCCTAAGATATCATGAGATTACAGATGAGATTTCCCAGCAATGCACTGCTGATGTAACCTTCCCAGGATGCAAAGCTTGGGCACAATTACATCATTTGTGCCAAAATGGACCAGGAAGTGGAATAAAAGAAACTGTAAGTAAAATAAAACATGTTTGTTTAGCTAATGAATGTAAGATGATTTCATATCAGCATGCAGAGCTATATGCTGAGGTGATTTTTAGTCAAAGGGGGTAAAGGTCCACTTTAATCTACTAATTGTAATTACATGCAGTTTAATGCAGGTAACCTTTGCTTTTCCATTTCTTTATCATATTCATAGTCTTAATTGCCCTGGCCTGTTAACCAGTTGACATCCGCGGTGTTAAACCCCCTTCCCATCCAGGCCATTTTTCAGTATTCAGCGCTGCGGTACTTTAACTGACATTTATTCCGTCATGCAGCGCTGTACTGAAATGAATTTTATACCCTTTTTTGGGGACAGATAGAGCTTTCTTTTGGTGGTATTTATTCACCACTGGGGGTTTTATTTTTTTACTATATTAAGGAAAAATTACCGAAATTTAAAAAAAAAACAGTTTCCCCTATATTAAATGATAAAACATTTATTATTA